CCCTACGGCAAAAGATCGCCCACTGCAGATAAAGGCAACGGAATAATGCTTTCAACTGTTTTAAATGAAACTCCAAAAGGAATAATGATTGTAGCCTTCTATAATAAATTTGGCAAATTTCAAGATGAGCAAAGGGCTTTATTGATAAATACTATTGCCCAGTTTTTTGACGAAAAAGATGAGCACATGTCCCTAAAAACAAGCTTCCAACTTGAACAAGAAATTTTGGAGCGATTTCCCAATGAGAAATTAGTAAGATTTTTTACATTGTAAACTCAATACTTGTTACATGTAACTTAATTAATTTCAGGAATATTACCGAACGGGTAAGCGTGGTAAGCTTTACAACAAATTTTGCAATTTACGGTCATCATTTAAAAATGTAGTCTCGCATCATGTAATTCCAAAAACCAAGAAAAAAGATGAAAAAAAACCTCGATATGAAAAGGTTTTTGGTAAGTTTTCTCTAAAATCTAAATCTTTTAATTAAATTACTTAAATTGTTCTTTTTTTCAGTGCCTGAAAGTGATGCAGAAAGTTGCAAAAGGGTTTTAACATATGACAACCTATCATCAGAAGAGTTTGACAGGTGCTGGAGGGCTTGTAGCCAATATCGTTTGGCTCAAATAAAAGAACTTGAATCTTCTGCAGCCGTTTTAGAAAAATGGCCCTTTTATCAAAAACCCTCAGGTTTTCGACTGGTAGGATTAATATTTTTAGTTATTTATCTAATAGTTTAATATTAATATTTACTACATACCTATTAATTTTTAGATTGATATGGATTTTAGTATCCTATTTGACACTGGAAATGCTCTTTTGGATAAATGGAAAATTTTCCATAGTACAATTATTTCGTTTCTGTCTGGCGAGGGACATATTAAAGATAAAGGAATAAAAGGCTTCCTGGAAGAAATTAAAAAGGGAAAACTTACCGAAAGTAAGTAAATTTAAAGCAACTTTTAGGTGAAACTAATAGTAATTATTCATATAGATAGTCGAGATGCATTAATTTTATGGGCAATTCATGGTTATTTGATTCCTACCCATAAAGTAATTAAAAATGATCCAATTAGTGGGAAAAAATCCACAACAAAGTACACAATTAAAGATTCGCAGGAGTCATTTTTGTTTATTGGGAAGTGTCCACAAGAAATAGAAGACCATCTGGCACATAGAAAGTCCTTTAAGAAAAGCATTCAACCATTTATTTTATGTATTGGGGAGGATATTTTAAATATTCAGGAGATATACGTATATTTTGACGAAATTAAATATTCTTTTGTGAACTTTTTGCGAGCAGTTGATATTTGCTACAAAATAACATATGTGTTTAACTTAGATTTCGCATCGGAATGTTTAATGTTTTGGAATTTTATCGACAGTTTTTTTTTTGAAATGAAAACTAAAGAGTCATTTTCGAGAGTGCATATTTTGGCGGAAGCTCTTAAGACTAATGTTAATTTAGACGAAATTTTTTAAATTTAATTAAACACAAATGTATTTCCGTATAAATGTATTTTTAAGTTATGAATGAATGAATGAATGTGCAATTTATATTTGATTTTGTTTTTTTTTAGAAGTTTATTTCTATAATGTATAATTTATAAAAAGAAAAATAAACTACGTTCATTTCCATTATAAGATTTTTTCCTTTATCTAATAACCTAGCTTCCATATTACAGAAAAGTGTAAATTAAGTGCATTGTCACATGTTGCGCATAGACCTACTTGCGCTTCACCCCCGGTAAGTATATTGCTATACAAAAATTGCACACAATTTTTAAAGTAAATTATTTTACCAACTAAAAAGGGAATTGATTTGCACCTATAATTAATTAAATGTGTTAATTTATTAAATGTAATAGATTTATTATTTAACAAATAAAATAATTATTATCAAAAAATAATTCGTTAAACTAATTCATAATATTAATAATTTCGATTATAAGTCGATTACTTCCTACGTTGAATTAATAACTACGTTTATCATATTAATAAAAAAATTAATAAACATCATAATAATATCAATAAAGTTAGTAGTTAAGTAACGTATATGATACACTAAATCAATAAATATATTTGATTACTTCCTACGTTGAATTTATAAATACTTTTATCATATTAATAAAAAAAATTAATGACTATCACAATAATATCAATAAAGTCAGTAGTTAAGTAATGTATATGATACACTGAATCAATAAATATATTTGGTACCATAATAAAACTTCAAGTTCTGTAGACCAACATTGTTCGTTGTACCAATTACATCCAATTATATTAACAATGAAAAAGTTATATTAACCATTAAACGGGATTTATAAATCAACGAAATAAATGTTAGCCAATGAATGAAGTAATTATTTTATTAAATGTGCTTTATTATATCAATAATTAGTTACGTTGGACAAATTTTAATAAAAAATTTATTGAAACAACGTTTTTTTTTATTGGATATACGTCGATTTTTGGTTCAGTGTATTCTTCTTCTATTGGAAATTTTAACTTCATTTTTTGTAGTTTGTACAGTCTATTTTTTTAGATAATTTATATAGTTTACCTGATGAGTAGGTTCTTACTTTCTTATGGATAATTTTTAGGACATATTTTTGTGTTACTTCCAGATCTTCCAACTCCAAGAATACCACATCGTAACTGAAAATCAACTAGGGCATTATAGACTATATTTAATTGCTCAACATTTAAAGCGTCTTTGAGTAATTATTTTAAAATATGTTACTTAATTTTTTTTATTCATTTCCTCTATGTAAAGATTCCATTTTAAATGTTGGTCAGTTGTAATCCCTACGAATTTTATAGCTTTTGTAGATTTGATAAAAACATTTTGAGTTATTGATCAAAAGTCAAGGGTATTAAAAGTTGGTAAGCTATTTTTATATAATCCAAAAGTTGTTTCAATTGCTTCAGTTCCTCCCAGTTAGATCCCTCATAAACAATGGTAGTATTGTCTGCAAAGCTAATTATGTTCCCAGGCTTTTCATTTTAAATAAATAATAAATAATAGTAACAAAAGTGGTCAACCATCGAGACCATCGGTTCATTCTCGCTAAAAGAACTTTTTAGATAACCCCAAAGAAAAAAATCTAGTGGGTTTAAATCTGGTGAACGCGCAGGCCAGGCTACGGAACTCCCTCTTCCGATTCATCGGTTGGGAAATTGATGGTCCAGACACTGGCGCACGTTCAAACCAAAGTTGCTGGTAGTTTTTTTACTATTAAATATTTGTTTTTTAGGCCTTTATTGCATTGAGCATCATCTCCATAATCGGATCAGTGCAATGTGGATCTTACAGCACCGTGGTGCGTAGCGACGCATTAGGAGGCAGTTTTTCGTATAACATCGTGGAAAACGAACCTCTCACAACATACCAACCTCTAACAACAACATACAACTACCAGCCCACAGTAACCCCCAGCTATTACTACCCTGGATTCGGCGGTATCCCCCAACAACCGATCTACCAACAGCCCATTTACCAGAACCCCATATTCGGGGGGTACCCTGGTTTAGGGGGGCAGTACCCTATTATTGGGGGCGGCAACCCTATTTATCAACCTGTCCAGCCAGCTCCGGCTCCAGCTCCAGCTGCCGAAGAACCAGTGGGAGCTGTCGCTCTAGATGATGACACCATTGCTGTGGATTCAGCTTAAATAAATTATTGATTAAAAGATGTAAATAAAAAGATTAACCAATAAATTTTTTTTATTAACATAACAATAAATGGGTAAACCAACCATTGGATAAGAATGCGCATCAAACTTATAGTCGCTTATGCGATATACATTACCAACTTTGAATTGTAAAGTTACTGCTGTTAAATTTGGTTTTTTAAGGGGTAGGTAAAGTGTTATAAAAAATATAATTTATTTGCGTATTGTTTACCAAGAACTGTCACAATTTCCCTATTTTAAAACCTTTTTTTTTTTTAAGAAATTATGAAAATAAAACCGTTTACTTAGCAATTTTTGGTTCAGCGTCATTTTATATTTGTGTTTTGTAAAATTTTGTATAAATAGTTATCATCCTGTTCCGCCCTAAACATTATAAATGCTTCACAAACTACCACACTTAATGATATTTGCAACAAACTATTTCAGAAGTCAGACCAAGGAATTAATAGTTACCTTCAGAATCCAGAAAAGGGATGAGGAATCTGAGAAAGAAATATATGAATTATATATTTACAAAAACGAAATAAAAAAATTTATCTAAAACACCAATTTAACTTTAAAAAATATTTAACAATTTACGTTATTTGATGTAAAGTTGTTATAAAATGTCCAATTACTATACTATTATTAAAAATTCAAATATTCTTATTTTTAAGTAAACGTAAATAAAATTTAAACAAATAAACTACCTATCCTTTTTATATATTTATAAGAAAAAAACTAAAATCTTTAAAAGGCTTATATAAAGTTTAAATAAATAATAATAATAATAATGTTTCTTTATTTCAAAACTCATCTTCGTAATACATTATTATTTTACAAAAAAAAATAAGCATTATAAAAATAGTGAAATGACGTCATAACATTATATACAAAGGCATAAATATAGATAGAATGTTTTGGGTATGTCATATCTAGGGTTCTAGTTTGATAGGTATCTACCCTATTTAAAGTAAACGAACTTTTGTGTTTAAATAGATGCATGAGGCATTCATAGATATACAAAGCATATATTGGCATAATGTTTTTAGTAGAAAATTCCTAATATTACCCTATTTGTTTTCCTAATTATTTGGTGTAGAAGATTATAACAATGATGTTATAATTCCATCTTAATAAACAGCCCCAACCGCCACAAAAATACACGAGCGTTAGATTGTGCCTGGGCACGTATGAATAGACCTTAACGCTGACGTCATATGCCGTTGATGACGTACACCCATGCAGATTTGACCGCGACTATACATCACGATTCACATGCTTCAATTCCATAAAAAAAACAATAAATAAAACAAAATATAATAACTTAGACAAAACAAATATTTATTAGTCGAAAAATTCACACACTTGACACTTGACCTTCTCTGAATGACTTATACCCCTCAGATCTAACCCAAACAAATATTTATCAGTCAAAAACTTCCTCGTAATCCTTGTAAAGGATCTTGGCGATTTGTTCTTTCAATGGTTCGGGTGGTTTGACGCAGCCCTTACGTTTGTCGTATTGGCCCAAGTAATTTTTGCAGTTTTTACAAAACAGTAAAATACGACTCTGCGCCATCATAAATGGCAGCATACACAGAGGCCAGAATGCTACCAGAATTGAAGCCTGGAATCCCGTGTTAGCTATCAAAGCCTAAAAATGATAAAGTTGTGGTACAGATTTAAATGCTTTTATGCTGGATTAAAAAAAAAAATGTTTCAACCATTTAAGTTTTAAAGCAGTTTTATAAAAATTTAGAGACAAAATTACTCTTCTTTTGGTTTGCTTGATAGCTGGAGAATCTATTACACTACAAACAGGACAGCAAATTTTCATTTTGCCGGGTTTCCATTTTTCCACTGGAAAATAAGGATCAAATATCTGATTTTATAGATTATCTGTATACTTGCATGTGGTTACAAATTTGTAAACTTCTTCGTCTCTCCTTTCCATATATGCTTCAACCGCTGGACATACATCACCACATTTACATCCACTCATGTCGTTAACTGTAACATTACAATTATAGAAAATTGTTGCTGGGGAAAACCCTTTTTACCATCTCTTTTGATATCACGACCCATTCGATCGTAAGTGTCATAACCAAAGCAAGCGCAGCAATCTAAATTACGTACATAATTTTTATTTAATTTTTTTAATTAATTTTATTTGTTCTACCTGTTCTCTCAGCCTTTTTTGCATTTGCTTCAATGATTTCTATAATCAAACAAAATTAGTATTAAACCCAATAATCATTTATGTTTGTTACCCCTTAACCGGTCCTCATAATATTCAAAACTGCTTCTGCAGTAGAGTCCAGAAATCAAATCTATTCAGAAAAAAATGTTTTATACAACTTTATTTATTTATATATATTTTAGTACCATCGCAGGTTTTTTCAGGGGACTTTATTTCTTCGTAGGCCTCCTTGCAACAATACATTGGAAATGATTTGCATATACCTCCTTGATTTACACACGGTAGCTCACACTCCGTACCTAAAATGAGAATATACATTGTTATAATTTATGTTTCTAAAATAACTTTTTACTTGCTACCAGTTAAGATTTTATAATAAATATTGAGGTTCCACGCAATGATAAAGTACACTCTTCATGCGTCAAAATTAAAGTCACAACAATACAGTGAACCATTAATTTCATGATAATAAATTACACCTGCGCAATTGATAATTAAGTTGGAATACAAAAACCAGTTCAATGTTTATAAATATTTGTTGTATCTTACATGTAAATTAATGTGGATATAAAAATCCGTTTTTTAACCCATTTTGATGTACATACCATAAACTCCTAAAAACAAACGTAGGTAACCTTGAAATTTGGTATAAGAAAACTGCTCTTACCTTTTGTGACTGGATCAAATTTGCCTATAGGAATTTCATCTAAGTCACCTAAAATGTTTCATAAAATTGATTAATAGTTACAAGATCTATTATTAAAATAATACAGTAAAAAATCTTTAAAACATTTAACAGGGTGTAATGTAATTTTTCTTCTAAATTCTAAAGACTAAAAATAATTTATAATAACCTTTATCCTACCAAAAAGTACGCCACTGATCGACTAGGAACTATAGGCTAATCTGGTTGCCTAATTTAATTTATTATGATATGGTTGGCAACAACCAGAGTTTTCAGATTCTGTCAAATAAGTTGCCAAATTTTGTTAAAATTTAGCTTAATTACAAAAATGTCAAAATCAACAATACAAATTGTTAATTTGGCGTTTTTATTAATTGTTTATTATGTCATTTTTGTAATGAAGGTAAATTTAAACAAAATCTGGCAACTGTTATGACAAAATCTAGTGCATTTCTATAAAATTTAAGGTTATGTGCTCAAGTTGTAAATATCTTAACTAAGGGAAGCGATTTTGGATTTGAATAGGTTTCTAGTCATTGCTTAAGCTAATAACTGGATGAGTAAATAAATACAGAGGGGTATTAGAGCTTTAAGGGCATAAAACTTTTGTATTTATTGAGTTTTTATTTATTTTTTGCAAGGAAAATTTTTAGTAACAATTTTTTACAACTGGCAACGTGCAACTACTTTGTTGGTTGGTATCTATGTTCTCACAGAACACAAGTGTGTAACCAGTGGCGTATCACAAAAAATATAAAAATCTTCTAATGCATATTTCGCTGGTTTGGTGCAAGACTCTCCAGTCCAGTCCATTTTCAAAGAATTTGATAAAAACACTATTAAACATTTCTATTTATTGTAACTAAATTGTTTTTTTCCGTCATTCTTTTAAAAAATGAAAGGTTTAACAAGAATGACGCAAAAAACAATTTAGTTACAATAAATATAAATGTTTAATAGTATTTTTATCCAATTCTTTGAAAATGGACTTGGGATAATCTTGCACCAAACCAGCGATTTTACATTAATACATAACACCCTGTATATATTTTCTTAAAAAAGTAAATATAAAAGACAATTTATAATTGAATTTCGTTTAGAAATGTATTTACCCCTTGCATGAGCATAGCACCAATCTTTTCCTTCCCTAATGTAACCTAAAAAATAAAAATAAGTTTTTAATTTATTTATCTATTAACCCAAGTAAACAAATACATCTGGGCTTTTGATGATTTTCATCCTGTTTCTGACTATCGTCCTGTTGTTGGTTATCATTTTCTGCAAAAGTAGTTTTTTAGAATAAACGTTATATTTAATACCTATCCTATGATTTAAAAACAAAATAAAAATTATGGAATATCCTAAAAATATCATAAGGCAATTTAACTGTAATATTCACTATCGCTGGTTTCATTGTTTTCTGAACATGAGTTATCTGGAAATAATTGTTAGTATATTTTAATGTTATCTGCGTTTACTATAAATACCCCCGGATGTATTCGGATCTAAAATATAGTAATAGTTTTAGTATATGTTAATACTCATATTTATGAATAGAGTAAGAATAGAAACTCTACATAAGTTTTTATATTGCAAACTCTATCCCTAAACAATTCGTATATAAATTTATACATCTTAAAAAAATTACCTTCATCATCAGTCTGATCGTAACAACGAAATTCATCTGCGTTTGAAAATTAAGTTAATTAATACATTATAAAGACCTTGTTTAATATCACAAATATACCTGGATCCATATCATCTGATAAATAGTAAACATCTCTATCTAAAAACTAAACTATTAGTATTTTGATTCGACTATATCTCTATGTATATATTTTACCAGTTTTACCGTCCATGCTTTTGTAGCTTTGAACTGGCCTTAAACCTTGTGATTTCCTCCTAAACGCAGGTATACTAGGATCTTTTACTGTAAATATTATAAAAAAAGTAAATAATGCTGTTACACAGATAAATAAAGTTTGATTTACCTATACATATCTTGATTCTGGAAGAATTCTTTCGTGGTTCCGATATTGGTGGTCTGTGTAAAGTTTTCTTCTTTTTGAATCGTCTTCTCTTTGGAATATTACCTGTATAATAAGCTTTATTGCCATGTTTCTTACACCCGCCCATCATAATTTATTTATTAGATTTTATGATGATTATATACTGGAATTTTGGATGGTAATTTTCAGAAAATCTTGGTTGTCAATTGAATTGAAAATGTCAAATTGAAGGTTAACCCGTTACTATCGCTGTGTCTCGCTCATTTTAATTAAAATAACTACTAGAGACTAATAAATACTAAGGGGGTCAAAAGTGACCCCAAAATTCCTCTACTAAAGGGGGGTTAACGTTTGTGGTCTATTATATATCGATTTGAAACCCCATACTTAAAATTAATAATTTCAGAGATATTTAACATTTTCCAAAAATTTTAAATTTTATTTTGTATCATGAAACCTGTGACCGGTGAGTTAAGGTATCTATGGTTACCACCAGAGGTGTTGTAAGTACCAAGAGAAAGTACTTAAGTATTAATGGGTGATTCTACAAAAGTTGGACAACTTGATGTCATCAGTCAATAGAGTAGGTATAATATTTTTTGTAAATATTTTAGTATATTACAAAAGATCCAGGTTTTTTAACTTGTTCACCCAATTTTAATATATTTTTTCAAAAGCAAGTTTGTAGAAAAACATAATAAATATTCAAAACATCAGTACCTTGGCGTGTCACAACTCCTGAATCAAATATTTGAGTGGTTTTATTTTAAAATATATTCAATTTATCTTAAATTTTTCAATTTCACTACAAACTATAAAAAATATAAAATAATGTATTTTTCATATTTTATCATAGATTCGAATAATAGCAATTTTTAAAAAAATGATAATATTTGTAGGTACTCACTTTTACCCCTCAGTTTTATGTCCAATGTTAAAATTTAAAAGTTTAAACTTCAAGTCCTCGTTTAAACTCAAGTTTTGGTAAAAAATTACCTACAGAGCCGCCCTTTTCACGACAGTCATCTTGAAAACAATGCAAGCGGTGAAGTTGTGGTGAATGCACGTATAGTTCCAATCAAAATCTCAGTACTGTGGTGAGTATAACTATAGTTATTTTCTTACGTATATATATTTCATTGTAATTTATATAAGGCTATATGTGATTTGTTGATAAATAGCATCCACTAATAAAAAATGTCAGTAAAATACTTAATTCCGAATTATAATCTCAAATTTGTATCCATTTATCAGTACCGTGTCGTCAGTTCCATGTTCGATGTTGCGGTTATCTTTTTTTCGCAAACTTCAATTTAAATTTTGCTTGCGCAGAACTTGTTTATTTAATGTCATTATAAACTGATATAAATTTGGTGTGGGTCCCATATCTAATAATTGAGATATCGGTATACACAAAATCCACCAGCCGCCACTGATGTGTGGTATTATTTGATTTTAAGATATTTAATGTATAATATGCTCAAAGTTGCAATAAATCTTATATTTTCCAATAAATTATGTATTTAATTAGTACCCTGGTATACTCGTCACTTCCCTTGCATTCAAATTTAGAAAACACAGATATTTCAGAAACTGTTTGAAAAAGAGACTGGCCCGGTCTGGAACAGTATATTTATTATTTTATCTATGTTCTCATAACAAAATACTGTTTAATTTTCTCCGAAAACTATATAAACAAAATGAGGTCAAAAGTTGCCCATCTTTTGTAGAATCACTCTAATACTTTTTTTAAATACGAATCAAGTACCAGTAAAAGTATAAGTAAAGAAGGAAATACTTAAAACATCAAGTAAATTTACTTGAATTATCCAAATTTAAGTACAATAACGAAAATCAGAGTCAAGTTTAATTATACTTTGACTTAAACTTGCTAACTTGAAATGATATTTAAGTACAAATACTTAAAATAGTATATTTTGTATCAAGTTTTATAAACGCCATTTTAGTTACGAGTTTAATTAAGCACGAGCGAAGCTTGCGAGCGAGTGTTTAATAAAAACGAGTGTCTAGAGAAGTTTATAAATGAGTTGCATACTATACTTTATCTACGACGAACACAAAACAGAATTTAAAGCCAATTTTATTTGTTAAAATTTTGACATCTGTCAACTGTCACCCGAATTTAACCTCACTTTTTCCCAATTTATAATAAAGCTAACTTTAGCCCGTGACGTAAAATGTCGAAAAGCTACTGTTGTTAACTTCAGCCCGTCAATAAAACGCCATAAAGTTACAGCTCGTCAATGTTGGACTAGATAAACATAATTTAAGTATTTTTTTATGTTAAGTAATGTTCGGATTAAACTATAATTGTTATAACAAATTAATAGGGTATTTAGTATAGGCAGTATATCCGAATAATGAAACAAAATCGTTTTTGTTAATTTTTTTTATTAATAACAGGAGTAACATAAACAAATACATATTAATATGTAGAAAAATAACTATAACTTTATGGCTATTAAATTAAACAGTTTTTCAAAATTGCCGTCACTTAGTGCATGTCTACAAGGCGCATTAATAATTAGGGCAAAACTAAACAGCAGCTGATGACTGGAGGATTGTGTTATATTTACGAAAAACAATTTTAATTCTTCACGTGAGAATACCGCTATACTTGTTGGTTTATTACACTTCTACTTCTACTTACAGTAAGTAACTTACTACTACAGAAACCGTGATGATTTTTGCTGGACACAGGCATAGACACTGGGATTGGATTTGGAATTGGGAAAAGACACAAGAGATAAGTGATTTGAGCCGGCTAGCTTACGCTTAAGATTAACCTAATTTCCACTGGGATTTCTTAGGTAATTTTGAAAAATTTTAAATAAATCTTTTCAACAATGTTTTAGGATCCCACAAATTTCACAAAATATATGCAGTGTTTCATATAAAATAACAAAGTTAAACCGAAAGTGGCATATTATGCTTTTAAAATTTCAAATGGATATATTTTCCGTTCCACAGAAACCTTTAATGGAAAACGAATATAAAACACACTGTACATTCGAATTGATTCCGAAAGCAAAATTACCTCATCCAGGAATGTCTAAATAAACAAAAATCAGATTTTTATCATAAAAAAATATTATTTTTGCATCCAATAATAAGTGTTAAAATTTCTGTATGCGCCCGTTGAGGGTTAAAAATGCTTGGAACTGTTTAAAAAAAATATGTAAAACGTTTGATGTAAACAATAGATAATATATTTTTTCAAAAATTTAATGATGAATGGAAAAACCATTGGATAAGAATGCGTACAAAACTAACATTACAATTTCATTAATAAATTCCCATACCCTTCCTGACTTTTCATGATTTACGAGGTGTGTTCAGAAAATATCGAAAATTTTCGTTTTTTTGAAACAAATATTTATTTATTCGTCTACATTAATGTTGTCGCCTTTAAAATAGTCCCCAATGGATATTATGCACATGTGCCAGTTCTTCTTCCAATACTCGAAACACTTCTAAAACTCGATCTTTGGGATAGCCTTTAGTTCTTTCAGCGATGCGCTTTTAATGTCATCTATGCTTGCAAAACGACGGCCCTTTAAGGTTCTCTTTATTTTTGGGAATAGGAAAAAGTCAGACAGAAGCATGTCTGGCGAATATGGAGGCTGGGGCATCATTACGGTATTGTTTTTGGCCAAAAATTTTGTTCAAAATTTAACAATTTTAGAACAAATTTTGCTGCCACGCGTTTCATACCCAAAACATTCGAAAAAATTTCATGGGATGAGCCAATCAATATACCAACATCATCAGCGACTTCTCTAATGGTTTATAACCATTTCTTCCCCTTTTTCCATGTTTTTATCGGTTGTTATTGTGCTTGTGCGTTCGGGGCGTTCGTCATCTTCAACGTCTTCACGGCCATCTTGGAAACTCTTATACCACTTGTAAACTCACTATAGGCCTTTGTTAACATTTCACAAAATTTATTTCATTTTTTAAGCAAAATTGGATACAAATTCTTTGATCCATTTCTTTTAACGAACGAAAAATCGCCGAGCTGCCACAGACAAAGTAAACAATGAAAACGGCTAAAGTTTTTATCATACTTCGGGGGCATGTATACCAACATAATAAAGAAAATTTTATGACAACCAGACCCTACGAACCAGCGAAATTTAACAATTCACGTTATTTTCTGAACACACCTCGTATACCCCTCAGAAAAATCCCCAAAACCAAATAAATAAAACAAATACAAAATTTAAACAAAACAAATATTTATTAGTCGAAAACTTCCTCGTAATCCTTGTAAAGAATCTTGGCGATTTGTTCTTTCAATGGTTCGGGTGGATTGACGCAGCCCTTACGTTTATCGTATTGGCCCAAGTAATTTTTGCAGTTTTTGCAAAACAGTAAAAGACGACTCTGGGCCATCATAAATGGCAGCATACACAAGGGCCAGAAGGCTACCAGAATTGAAGCCTGGAATCCCGTGTTAGCTATCAAAGCCTAAAAATGATAAAGTTGTGGTACAGAATTAAATGCTTTTATGTTGGATTAAAAAGAAAAAAATGTTTCAACCATTTAAGTTTTAAAGCAGTTTTATAAAAATTTTAGGGACAAAATTACTCTTCTTTTGGTTTGCTTGATAGCTGGAGAATCTATTACACTACAAACTGGACAGCAAATTTTCATTTTGCCAGGTTTCCATTTTTCCACTGAAAAATAGGGATCAAATATCTGATTTTATAGATTCTTTGTATACTTGCATGTGGTTACAAATTTGTAAACTTCTTCGTCTCTCCTTTCCATGTATGATTCTATCGCTGGACAAACATCACCACATTTACATCCACTCATGTCGTTAACTGTAATTTTACAATTATAGAAAATTGCTGCTAGGAAAAACCCTTTTTACCATCTCTTTTGATATCACGACCCATTCGATCGTAAGTGTCATAACCGAAGCAAGCGCAGCAATCTAAATTATGTACATAATTTTTATTTAATTTTTTAATTAATTTTATTTGTTCTACCGGTTCTCTCCGCCTTTTTCGCATTTGCTTCAATGATTTCTATAATCAAACAAAATTAGTATTAAACCCAATAATCATTTATGTTTGTTACCCCTTAACCGGTCCTCATAGTATTCAAAACTGTGCCTGCAGTAGAGCCCAGAAATTAGATCTATTAAAAAAAATGTGTTTATGCGATTTATTTATTTATACATATTTTAGTACCATCGCAAGTTTTTTC